GTTTAGTTGTGATACCAATACCAAAAATACTCCGGATTTTAAATTTGAATTGGCGCGAACTTTTTGGGTTCCAGAAATTCCCGAATTTATTAGCGTATCAACTGATAATTTTGTAATCAAAAAAATATACACAATCATAAATGGTAAAGCGGCATACATTGACGCTCACGCGAGTGAAGTAAAGGAAATTAGCATGTCAAAGGGTCTAATCCCTAGGTTTGAGGAAAATCCGACTTGGCGAAATTTTATTCCACTTCCAAGCACATGTTCATTAGAATTCCTAGTTCAAAATCCTACAGAATTTGAATTGCCACTTTCCGTTATCCCTTTATCACCGACCAATCAAGTTCCTCCAAAGCCACCAACTCCACCCACAATTTCACCACCTTCGCAATTCATAAAATTCAATGACAATTCAAAGAATAATCCATTAAGGAGATCAACGTATAGAAATCGTAGAAGTGTTGACTTACAATCAGATGGTATTATATCCAACAAAAAATCTCGTAGAAAATCGGGCAATATTATGAATCATGAGACTTTAAATTTAGAGACTTCACCATTAGGTGCCGTAGCTTCCATGTTCCAACAAAATGAACAAGGACAATCACGACTTCTCGGTGATCTAATTTCTCCTCCAATTTCACCTAAATTTGCTAATTTATCTGACATCCCATCACAACGAGGAGCCATGTCAATTATCCAAGTTCAAGCCGCTACATATGATTATGCTCCATTTCCGGCTCATCCTCAGACGCGACCAACCAAGAAAGATTCAAGTACATCATTACCTTTTGATCAATCATCATATACATCTCATTCAGAATCTCAAAGTAGGACCAAACCAGAAGTACCTATAGAAGCACCATTACCATCGCACCTATTCCTTGCGACCGTGCATAATGTTTCTTACTTAGTTAATGGTAATGGCGAACCATACAAATATCACCATCCAATACGATGGTCTTCACCACCAAACGACATTTCATTATTACCTAGTTTTAATGACGTCTTTGTGCTAGGATTTCAAAATACTACTATTGAATTGGCTTCGATGAAATCTGGTGAAATTATAAGAAAGGTTGTACATGGATGTTCCGTAAATTTTTTAGGCAGTACTTGGAGAAAGAATGATATCGTTAATCAAAGGAGAAAAATGAAACCTAATAAAATACATGAATTTGATAGCGGAATGAGAAGGAATGTTTTCTGGACTTGTAATTTGGGAGAAACGTATTATTTTTATCGTGGTAGAGTTATTGACAAAGAAAATTAAGTGATGCGACATGTAAATAATAATAAATAATATGAATGTGCATATTTACTTGTAATTTCTCACTTTTTTTTTTAAAAAAAAAAATTAAGTGAGAGTTACTTTGCATTATTCAAAAAAAAAAAAAAAAAATATAAGATCATTTGAACTTTTGTATATTTTTTGATAGTAAAATGATATATTTATATATTATATTCCTTTCAAACAAAAAATAAAATCAATAAATAAAATTTGATTTAAACAAAGATTGCTTTAAAAAGATCAGTTTCTTAAAAACAATGTTCTTAAAAAAGAAACGCGCGTAATTCGTAAATATTTACAAATGTTTATGTGTCATCAAAAACTAATAAAGGAAACACATCATGCGATCAAAGTCAAAAAAAAAAAAATGAAAATCAAGAATTAAGTTTAGTGGTACGTCAGAATTAGGAAAAATTTTTATTTTAAACTAGTTATAGCATATATGGGAGGTTTTCTAGGAAAATGGGGCTCTGAGAATTTTTTAACAAAATTTTGTTTTTTATTGCATTTTAGTTTTTGATGTTATCAGGTTAAGGTCTTAATTTTAGTCAAAAAAATTCCCGAGCCCCATTTTCCTAGCAACCTTCCCATATATATAATATATAATAATATATAATATATGCAAATGTTAAATCTGAGTTTTTAAAAGGTCCCATATATTAATTAATACAAATCATCAAACTTTGAAACTTTATAATTTTTCTGTTTACGTTTTTTTATATATATGGGATCCCTTAATATATCTTACTGATTTGTTTAAAGGGTACTGCTTTAATTAAAATAAATATAATAAAATATCAAATCAAATAAATCGATGATCCTTGATTCCTTTTTATATTCCTTTTTACAATATATTTAATTATTTCAAAAACAAAGAATAAGGATTAATTTTCATTGTTTTCTCTCAACTTGATTTTAAACAGGTCAGAATGTAGTAAACTTCATAATATCAAAAGAAAAAAAGGATTGTATGATCAACAAAACAAAACAAATCATCAAGATATGAAATGGAATTCCTTTTATTCTATTTTATCACACGGAAAATATATATTTATATTCCAATTTCTTACAGAATTTTCCCTTTTATTTCCAAAGGATTTTTAAAGTAACCCATTTTTTATTTATTTTTTTTTTATTACGCCTTCTGTGAAACAAACTATCTCGCTTAGTTCAGTGCTTGCCCAAAGGTAAAAAAATGATAACATAATATTCGATATGATTTCCTTTCGCATGTACACTCATAATTCTTCACATGATACGCTAATAAAATTTTAATATAAAAAATCGATCATAATGATTTTCATACTTCATTTTCAAAAACCTTCCCTGTCCATCTATCCTTTTTACTAAATCAACGTTCCTTTTTTTTTTTTTTTTATTTTTTGGTATAAAAAAAATAATATACTGTCTCATTTATCTTTCGTTCTACTTTATCACCATGGAAGGTTCCACGTTTTTCTCTCGTCATTTATTCAAACGAAAATTTAAAGTGTACCCGCAACAAAAGTGCGCAGAAAACAGAGAAAATCCGGATATGAATAAATCCATTTCTAATACACGTTCAGGTTTGGTATCACAAAGGTCGCTATTAACTGGAACGTTAACCCCCGCTGAAGAAATCGTTATCCCTTCTCGCAAAAGTTCTCAAACTCAAAACTGCGATAATATGCAAGAAAACACGAAGGATGTGTTATCACGTGACGATGAGATCGTTTTGGGATCAGAAGACGAACACCGACAAGTCGTTTTAGAATCCAATGATACTTGCGTAAACATTGCAAACGCACAACTGCAAGATACTGCCAAGGTGACCACTCTTAACTCGGTGCAGCAAAGCTCGACAGGAAATTATTTTGAATGGTTTGGAGAAATAAAGAATATGTATTTTGACCTGTTGGGTAAGATTAATGTGTTCAAGATGAAGAATGATGATGTTATAGTGAAAGATCATTGGAAGGTAATTTTTTTTCCTTTTAACCGAACTAATTAATGAAGGTTCTAAATTGATTTCATTCCTTTGATTTATTAGAAGGATCACACGGCAAAATGTTGTAGTTTTTGTCATAAAAAGTTCACGATTCTTTACAGAAGACATCATTGTAGAATGTAAGTTGTCATTAATTTTATTTTTTTTAAATTGCCTTTGAAAGTAAGAAAGTATCTTTGATCCTTTCCTCCCTCCCTTAGATGCGGATACATATTTTGTTCATCTTGCTCATCTGGGAAAACACTTCTCGATCCGAATCTTGCGATGCCAGTACAATTTGTTGCCGCGACGGCTACAAATACAAATATAAATTACAATCGCAATTCAGGAGGATTCGATTTCGATGGATTCGAATATAATTACCTTGATGATGATGAATTAGATCAAGAACAGCAGGAACGACAAGAACAACAACAACAAAAACAAAAGTACGAATTTAACTACGATTTAGATCAAACTTATGGGCATTTTGAGCACGACCATGAAAACGAACAAGAATTTTATGAGAATCATACAGACGATTGTTTTAGCGATGAAGATTCCATTACTTCAGATTATTCTTATTATAGCTCAGATTCTAGTTCATTTTTCGATTTTGATAATACTCCGTGTGATTTAATTTACAGTGATGATTCTTCGATGGTGTTTAACAATGATGATGAAGGCGACAAGGATAGTAAGAAGATCAGCGAACCCGTGCGCGAAAGAATCTGTATAAATTGTCACGCATTTTTTGAGTTGGACGAAAAAGATTGGTGTTGTAATTAATACTTCCTTAAAAAAATTTACGCAGTCACCTTGAGGGATTATCGGACTTTGGACTTTCTTTTTTACTTTTTACAAAAAAATTTTTTTTTTTTTTTCCTTCGTTTTAAAACGATGTATATAGAAAAGTTATTCGTGTATTGTGTATATTGTGTAAATATGAGGGATGTGAACCATCTAACAACAGAAATAAATATCACGATTTAAACTATTCATGTGATAAATAATGCTAAATGACTTATGCATATGATTTCATAGGATTTTTTTAATGTAATCAATCACTCCATATCAACTGATTTATTACATGATTTGTTTACATAATAGAGATATTCTTGTGAACAATTGAGCCTCCTACTATAAATAT